TAATGCAGCACCAAAAGTAGGACATATTTTAGTGAATAATAAGTCTGTGAATCAGAGCAAGGACATGTCTGCACAACGCAAACACAGGCAAGATAAAATCACAGGCAACCATTTCAAGTTCAAACTAAAGTCTTGCTGTAACATGACCACTGTAAATTCATTGCTCCTGAAGATTCCCTGAAATTTAAATTCTGTCGGACAGCCACAACCTCAGAGAATTTTAACTTCTCCCATTGTCACCAACTGACTGTGAGAAGGCTTCACCTCTCAGGGCGAGTACAGCAGAGCACACGTCATTCAAAGGCTCATAGAGTTCACAAGAATAATCCTGGGTCACCTTACAAACCCCTTTTAGTAAAGCTAGGTCTAATTTAAAGTCAGCATGCATCCTGATGTAGGCGCTACACCACATTTTGCTGTATACAGCAGTGCTGTGTGTACCATAAAGCACATGAGAATTCAGCTGGCACGACTCAAAACATTCCTCTGACAGACCACACAAACTAACCACTGTATGCCGCTCAAAGGCTACAACAGGAGCCACAAAGAGCCCAAAGAAGGAAAAGTAACGGTGGCAGGGAAGATACCACCGCAAGTGTGAAAGATGAGGTCGGCATCGCCAAAACAGAAAAGTGAGGACAGACGGAAAGATGAAGACTTCCAAGATTTCATGACAAGGACTTACAGAGTTGAGAGTTAAAGTTTGCTCCATGTATAGCGCTGTGTGCGTGCGTTTGGCTTGTCTTCAGCGCTTCTCCACACGCCTGCTGTGTGTAAACGAGTCCATCCGCTGGAGCTCCGTGGCGTGTGTGTGTGTCAGTGTTTGCAGCGCAGAGAGACAGAGCTCAACAGGGGATGAGAACGCGTGCAGGCGAGCCAGCAATCCTGACAGCTACTGGGAGTTCAAAAGCTCCCTCTCTCTTCCTCTGCTGCCGGTTCCTCTCTCTCTCCCTCCCTCTTCCACCCTCCTCTCTCTCTCATTGCTGTAAATTCCTCCTCCTTTCCTCTCTGTTTACCTCCCCTCCCCGCCTCTGTGTCTTCATGCCTTCTCTTGGTTTTTTCTGAAACGCCCACAGGACAGATCTATTACCCACAGGCGTGCAAACGAGAGCTGCTAATGTCTCCACACCTGAAAGGAGAAACTTCACACTAATGGAGCAAAAAAACAGAAGAAGAGGTGCCCCAAATTTCCCAGCAGGCACCGAGAGCATGCCTGAATAAAACAGTGTGCACTAATGTTAACAGATGTTCTCACATACAGCAGCATATCAGAGGACGGAGTCAGTGTGAACACAGTCACAGCACACAGCTAATGGTGTCATCTCTGTAAAATTGCAAAGCATCTGTTTGGAGCTGGTAACTAGGAGGAGGAGGAAGAAATCTGCTCATAGTGCTGGTGGAGTGGTGCGGTGAGATGTGGGGGCATTTTCAGTTGGGTTCGGAAAATTTCTGCGTGGAAATTAAATGTAAAAAGCAACTCAGTCTTCAACATGCACAAACATAAGGCGACGTGACAACAAAAGCTCAGCCTACATCAAAATCACATCATCACAGGATGCAGGAAATAACGAATCACCTCAAAGACAAACAGAGAATTAAAAAGGAGCTTCTCCCTCCATTGAACTAGAAAAGCACAGGTCCAAATGTGTCCAAAAGGCACAAGATTATGTGTGTGCTGTTCTGACTCGGTGCGTGGGTTTGCAAAAAAGCTACGTGTCGGAGTCTTTGTAATGTGAAGAAAAACAACAAGCAATTGCTCATTCCTGTGCTAGCCACTGTGACGCACACCACTAACCATGGAAAGAGCAACATGGCCACACGTGTCCAAAATTGTGCTAGGCTCGTCCAGAACACGCAGCGAGGCCATATACAGGGGTTATCCACAAGGGTCTGCCCCGAGCACTGATGGTGAACTCCGAAATAGTCTCACGGTGTCCTTGTGATTCCAGATGCGAGCGCTGTCTGAGAGCTTATCGTGGTTTTTTTTTGGCATGAGAGCAGTCCTTCAGAACATCCTTCACAAAAACACACAAGTTAGAAAACGCTGCAAAAACCAAACACTTGCACCCTCCATCCTTTTACACTGAATATGTAAAAGCACAAAGTCACTCAAGGTAAGCGCTTCAGTTTGGTAAGTTAATCATTCATTTTCTGAATTCTCTCTGAAGAGGAGCACAACCTTCAAAAGATGAGAGGAAGTTCTGAGACTTGAGTTTGTCGGACTCTACTGATGCACAAGGTCTTCATAGTTTCCAGTTTTACACCACCTCTCCCCCAAAGTAAGCTTGGATTGGCTAAAGCCCCCATTTCTCTGCGAGGATAAGTGGTATAGATAATGGATGGATGGTGTAGAGACGAGTGGCTCTCCAAATCTGCTGCTTCAGTAAAACCACCAAACCTTGTATAAACCGTATGCAAATCTTCATAACAACGCAATTGGTAATGCCAATAAATGGGCTTTGGTTTGCTTTGTAAATACACAATCTGATCTCTGACCGTGAACTCAGGGTGAAGCCCTTGAAATGAGAGCCCCCGGGGCAAGTGCCATGCAAGGGTCTAGTTGCCTTTGACGACCATAAAACATGTAGTCATTTCTTGGAATGTAAAGGTGCAAAGGTCGGCACAGGTTTAATATGGCTCTCGATTAGATGCAGTGTGATGAGTCCAGCGCATTGTGAGAGACTTGTCTTTCCTGAAGGAGTTAAAGTTATGACTGATAACTTGTCTACAAAAGAGACATTGCAGCAGAGAAAATGTTGAAGTGGAGTGATTTAGAAAGAGTAATTTTGAGGACATATCTAGGATATAATAAACAACCACAGTGAATGGGACAAAATTTGTTTTTTTTTGCTATGGTTTGATGTTAACTCTTATTCAGTTTTCTACTGAGCCTCGAAAACAGAGCACTACTTTCCAATAAGATAGGAAGCATGCTACCAGAAATCTGATGGTACAAATCCTTATTGTAATTGATTTTATCGAAACCTCTGAACAGAGGAATCAAATCTTTAACACCCTTTACTTCCTCTGTAATAAACATGGCTCCTAGATGAATAGAGTGTTTTCGCTATGAGTTCGCCCTACAGATGGATTCTGACTTAACATATATCGAATGTAAATGTGTCTTTTTAGTTTTGTAAGCCGACATTTTGAAAATTGGATTGAGACATTTTCTGGGGTTTGAAATTCACATATGAAGAGATTGTCTGGGTCAGATGTGTAAACAGAAAAATGGTAAACAAAACTCAACTTATCTCACGTGGTCAAACTCAGCCTTTTTAACAATGCTGACACTTTTTAAGATTTTAAAACCAGCACGAGCCTGTCTCCTTACAGGTCCTGATATAGTCCAGGTATTAAAGGTCACAAAATATTGGTAACAAAGCAAACTCATCATGTAAAAAAAAAAAAGAAAAGAAGAGAAGTCGACACGATACCACAAATGTGAAAGCATCCTGCTCACCACCGAGCCAATGTTAGTTTGTTCCATGAAAAAATATCGACCACAGAAACGGATTACACCCTGAAGGTTCCCACTTTCCACATTTCAAACTAAACTGAGAGCTGGATGAATGTCTCATAAGGCCTGCAGCAGTTGTTAGGTAAACTTTTGATAGATTCACCACACTTAGCAACTGCTGCGACACCACGGCCATAGCAACTGAATGCATTAAATCACATCATCAAACCAACACAAACATGTGGAAAGGGGTTCTCCACACATTCCGATTTAACGACTTGTTTCTATGATGTGAACAAACAGTATGGATGAGGGGGTGTATCTTTAGTATCTGAAGCATATTTGTTTTCTTTTGTATGAGAACCTGAATGTACTGTGATCTGGTGATTACAGTAACTCATTACTCATTTATGCTCAACGTTAAATACTTGTTAGGATAAGGACGCATAAGGACCAAACAGACAAAATGGAGCAGCACCACCATAAAACCAATAGTTCAAACGAGACATTCATAGGACACAAAGACAAATAATGAACAATGGCAGGACTTTTTGTAGAGAGACTTACAATAGCCCGCTTTTGGCGTAATATCTAAACCTTTATCACACATAAAGGACGCATGTGGGGAGTGATGGTTACATTGTGTAAAACAGACTGATCTCTTCGTTTGTAACAGCAACATGAATGAGCCTTAAATCAACAAGTTAAAGAAGTTCTGCTATATGCAAGCGAGAATTCTGTGGCTGTACCTTTTTAAAGCCACCTTTAATCCTGTGGCTGTACATCTGGAGCAGACCATGAGATTTTAAACAACAGCGCTTTATAGTGCGTGTAAGAGTAATCCTGAGGAGGAGAACTGTGGTGAGTCTCTTTGAGTACAATGTGTGGTCTGCAGGTGTGTCTGCGTGTGACCGATAGTTGGATACGCAATACAGTACACCACTTTTTGGTTTGTTTTTGTGTCTGTTCATGTGCGTTCAGAGCAATTATGAGATGAAGGAACAGTGTGCGTGTGTTTTTATGAATGTGAATCAGCTGTGTATGAGTAATGCGTGCACGCAGGGACGACTAGAGAAGCAGAGTTCCTCTGCAGCATTTATATGAGAGACTGTGAGCGCGATGTTCAGTCGCGCGGCAGTGCTCATTAGCGAGACCAAACAAACAGGACTGTGCCTCTGGCCCCCGCACAAAGACCACTTTGTGCTGTCCCCCCTGTGCGCAAGTGCAGCAGCAAAAGCAGAGTTCAAGGCAACGGAAATGAAAGGTTAAAAAAAGAGCTGGAACTGGAGCAGAATCGGTCACAATGGTTCACCTGAATGTGCCATTATAGAATCTGACCAACCTCTCTGCATACAGACCCAGCAGAATGGAAAATACAGAACACTGTCAGACCGTCAACTTGGATTTAAAAAAGTGTAAATTCTAAAATGGGAAAAGTGGTGTGCTTCACATAGAACACTGCCAGTTTTTGTTATTTTAAAACCACTCAATAACTCACATGCTGGGAAAACTAACAATAAGAAAAGAATTTGATGAATACCTCAAGGTCATCCAGTGACCGTGCCAGGCTGAGACGTTTGGCAGAGCGGCGCTTTGAGGCACGAGCAACACCCATTCCCCAAAACCTGGAGCCCTGTCAAAATAAAGGAGAGACAGATGAGCACACAAACAATAGTGGAACCTTTACGAACCTTGATGTCCTTGTACAAGTAGCATACTTATTCAAAGTCCTAAAAAGGTAAATTAATTTAATTCAAGTTTATTGTCATTATACTTGTGTAATTAAAATGCAGGTATGACAGTTTTCTTTATTTGAACTTATGAGAGTCATAACACACAATTGCAAGTGAAAACTGGTAGCATTAGGCTAATATGAACGTGCCCAGTTACAAAGCACCAAAACAGAAACACTTCATCTGTCACAAACTACAATTGGAAATCAGAGAGAAGCACTATGGTTATCTGCCTGCCCATCACTGCGGGAATGATTATGCAGTTTAACCAGTAACCCCTATTCTGATGATGAGAGCCGCTGTGTCCAAAGTTTCAAATAAGAGTTGAAGAATTGCAGATAATTACCACTGCATGACGCAGGCTCTACCCTGCAATTTCCCTGGCTTCCTGCACAAGATTGTCTTCTTTCTGATTTAACAGCTCGGGGACTAAAGCACGATCCAGCTCTGGTGTATAAATACTTCAATGAAGGAGGCAAACTCCAGTAAATGCTGAAAATAGGGTGTTTAAAAAAAACTATTACTACTACTAATATTTGTGTTGTTAAAATACAAACACACTCTGAACGTAACTTATGCTGCCTTTTAATATTTAACCTTTCACAAAAATATCTGTGACTATATGTCAGCATTTCTGTGGCTGAAAGAAAGAAACTAATTAGTGACACTGCAAACACATCAATGTCACAGCTCATTTCCTGGACTACATGGGAACACAGGGACATCTTGTGGCCAGGGAGAAGAACATCACACGCACAGAAAACATGCATGACAAAGACATCATTGAGTTACAACAGGTGCTTTCTGAGTCCGATTCACACTCAGCACCAATTGACTGTTGAAATAGTAGTATTGTATCTCACTTCAGGTGACACAAAAAACAGACTTGCTAACACCCCCGGCCCTCAATGTCTGGAAACTTAACTCCCCGTGAACATTTAATACTTCCTGTACTGCTGTGTTAGACACAAACCAAGTACAGAAACAGATGCTCTCGGACAATGGAACTATTTAATGTCACTTTGCATGAAGTTTTTTCTCAGCCACATGGCAAAGAAATTATCCACAAGGATACAAGTATATGAGCAAAAAGAAGAGTCATCAGAATTTAATAAATCTGTACTTTGAGCAGTAGAAATTATTTTGCTCACTTTAATTGAATTGAGTTCAATATCAGTATTTGAGTGGAAACCAGTGGACTTAATGTTGACATGAATCATAATCAGACTATGCTCCGTTACATGTAAATGGGAATATGAATGAAATATTCTATTAGCAATGCATGTAAATATCATAATCAAAATAATGTCTTAGTCAGGAGAATAAGATCGATAGTCAGAAAATTGCTGTCTACGTAAATGTTGTCACTGTTCTGTTTGGTTATAATCAAATAGGGTGAATAGACCACTGCTCGTGAGTAAGGAAAGTACCTTGACATGTGATTAATGTGCCATTTTAAATGTTGCATGCAAACAAAGCTTACTCACGTGTTTGCTGCTACAATCTTTCCGCTGTTTCTCCTCCAGAAACCTCTTGGTCCATTCCTCTCTGGGAGGTAGCATCATGACCTCTGCTGACTGGTATCTTTCTGAAGGAATCTGGTGCATGGGGGGCGGCAGGTTATTCGTGCTTGAGCTAAGGTTAACACACGAGGAGCAGTTGTTGGTGATCATCACTGGAGGCTCAGGGTCACCATTTGGGGCTTTAGGCCACTTCTGCTTAGAGAACCACCTTTGGCTGCCTCTTAAAGACTCTCCAAAGACGTTTGTTTTTTTACCTAAAAGCAGAGGAGGTGGTGGGGGCTTGAACTGGAACTCGAGCCTGGGTGGGGGACCTCCGTAAAAGCTGGTTAGTGAATCAGGTCCAGGTAGAGATTCTGAAAGGGAATGTGTGCTGGCACTGTTCTCTGGATTAAGTTTTTGACCATCCTCAGAGAGGTTTATTGGGGTAAGGTCTTCAGTCGGAGGATAATCCCACGGACAGCTGGGGAGGTGGGCCCCAGGGTGGGTTTGGATTGCAGGAGGGAAATCCCTATCTGCTCTCTCCTCAGGGGGGGACGCATTTCCTATACCACTGTCCCCATTGCTGCTGGCGCTGCCTTGTTTGCCAGTGCTGCCATTCTCCTTGGCTTGCTGCTGAGCCTCCATGTCCAGTTTCCCCCGGAGCCTCTCCACAGCCTCTCCCATGTCACTGTACAGGACAGTGACAAAGTGAAGGACATCGGGGGGAGTCTGAGGGAATTCCAGGCAGCCCAATGCATCTGGATCTGGAGTGCAGTCAAAGCCAAAGCGTCCAGCGATCCCTTTGTGGTCCTCATGGTTTCCCAGCTCTGGGTCCATAAAGAACACATGGCAGGAGGCCCGAAGAGGACCCTCCTCTGGTACATGGCCATCTATTATATGAGCTGTAGTGACCAGGCAAAAGAACCGAGGGTCTTCAGCACACACAGCTCCTAAGACGAGGTTCTCAGCGGGGAGGGCTGCCAAAACAGCTCCTGCGTCATCACAAAGGCGGATGCAGTCAAACATAATTTTCATCATCACCAGAGTATGGGTATCCTGCTCTGTTCCCAACTGACGTATTCGCTCCCTAATGGCCTTTAAACAGTCCTCCTCTGATTCTGTAGTGCTCAAAATCAGCTCTGTGGAGCTCAGGTAGCCGACCACCAAGGTCATGTTTAAAATACCCCAGTCTGGGTTGACGTCCTCTGGGACTGTGAACACAGAGTCTGAGTACGCCACTCTGGGTGTTTTCTCCTTTGGTTGCTCAGCTAAAACACTCCACTGCTGGGACCACTGTGACATGTCAGGCTCAGACACAGGCCTCTGTTTGGTGGTGACAGCGTGACTGGAGTTAAAGGAGGAATTGCTTGAATCGTGAGAGATAGTGCGAAGAACACCTGCCTTTTGGTAAAACCCCCTTTTATTGCTCATCTCGAATTTTTCATCATGAAGGATGGGGTTCCCCATTATTCGGCTGTCAGCATGCACCACCAACCGCAACGGTCCTTTGCAGCTGCCAATCCGCTGCACAACAGTCTCATGCAAAGCAGCGGACACGTCTGTTCCATTGATTGCCATGATGCGATCCCCTTGTTTGAGTCCCACCAGGTCAGCAGGACTTCCCTCCAGGATGCCACTCAACAAACACGGCCTCTGTCCAGAAATAGTAAAACCATATCCTGTCCGACCACGGATGATCTCCACACCCCTGAGCTCACCGAGTGCATTTAAATCCAGACGCCTCCTTGCGCCCTCAGGCTGTCCCTGTATCCTCATCTTTGTTGTAGGGGGCTGTGAGATCCAGTGTGTGGGTGTCATCCTACATGGACACAACAGGAGAACTGTGAGAAACAAAGTAGCAAAACCTATGACTGGAGGAGTAATCACTAAGATGAAGAAATAATTCACTCGTCACCACCTATCTACAGCAGCCTGTTGTGATCAAACATTGATTTGAAGCATTAAACCAGGGCTGCAACTCAATATTTAAATTATTTTGAACACTCTTTGAGTGAATAGTTATATACAGACCTTTTAATAGATTAATTTCTCTGTTAGCTATTTTAAATAAAAAATGTTCCATGCATTCAAACAACATAAAGCAAGAAATCTTCACTTTTAAGAATCTGGAACCTGCTAAATTCTTATCATTATAACTTAAAAACTAACTTAAACAGTATATCAACAAAAATAAGTCCACTTCCTTTATTTTATCATGTATGTTTACTTATTTATCACATTTTCAGTTGAATACACTTTAAATTAATAGATTCCATTGTATGTCCTGTTTACACTGCACAAATGATTTCTATTTCTTTATGTTTACTTGTTACTTTTGCTGATGTTTCTATTTTCTACTATCCCTTTGCTGCCGTAACATGAAAAACCTCCCACATTAAAGGATTATCTCATAAATACTTGAAAACTAACAATACATATGGTTTTGGAGCATTTTGGTGAAGGCAGAATTACAAAATAAACTCAACAAATGAGAATAGTTTAAATTAAACTGCATAGCCCCATAAATTCACTTTATGGGTGAATTAAGAAAAAGTAAATATTGTAAGTATAAAAATAACACAGAGCTAATGGAACAAATTAACAACGTGCTCCTCTAATTGTTAGAAAGGAATTAAAACGTTAGCATCGATCTTATTAAAGCGATTATCTGTCACACACAGCCCTGGCCCCCTGGCCCCCTCACCCCCTCACCCCACGGTCCCAGCTGCCTCCATTCTCACCCACAGCACTTTGACTCACCGCAGTTTGAAGTCGCTCCACTTGTCCCCTCGCCACCACTGCTGCTGTTTTCAAAAGCAGGAAACACGTGAAGAATCCCGGAGGCGGCGCGGGTTTTATTTCAAACTCAGGTGGAAAAAAACGTCGGACCGGTCGAACGAGGCTACTTTTGTCCCAAACTACCGCATGCTAACTTTCCAAACTAGCCTCTTCTTTCCCGCCCCCCCCAGCGGCGAAAACTTCCGCAAACAAACTCCCCACGCTTCCCATCCGCGAGTCATAGAAGTCCTCACGTGGACTTGTCTCCACACTGCGCGTCTTCTTCTCCGCTCGTTTAAAGTTTTGTTTTTCCTCCGCGGTGGCTCTTGTCCACGTGGCCCCGCCTTCCGCCGCCGAGACCACAAAGCGTCTTTCACGGTAACCATGACAGCGTAACGTCTCCGGGACCTGTGACGTGACCAGGCGCTGGCCAATCACCGCGTCCGTCACGTTTGATATTCAAACCCTTCGGAGTGACGCTATTGGCTGACGTGTGTGCGACAGTTTGCAGGCTTCTGTTTGTTTAAAATGCTAAAACACATTGTTCTTAGTTATTGTGTTTATATTATGTGTTATGTTTGTATTGTATTGTATTTTTTTTTCAATATATTTGTTCATATCTCCTTGCTTTAATATAGAAACATGTGATTTTAAACCATACTTTACACATTTCACGCTTCAAATCATTGTCAAAGACCCATCTCTTCTTTTTGGCCCTCTTCTGTTTATCATCGCAGCAGATTTTATTTTACTATCATTATGATATATTGTGTATTGCTGTTTTCTTGTTAAATGTGCTTCATGAATAAAGTTGACATTGACATATCAGAAGGAAGCACTTTAAATTAAAAAGGCTCAACACACTAGTGGTGAATTAATAATAATAATGATAATTATAATAACCACAAAATATTATATACTCTCAATCAGTATTCTTTAAAATATACATATCGAGTAATGTAAAAATCTTACCAGTATAATTTTGCTATTGTACTCCCTCCACATGTGTTTCCCCCTGTGTCCTCTGAGGATGGTGTGTAAACATTACCTCTGTGGTCAAAGGGCTGCAACGGCTACACACTGAGTCACATGGCTTTATTACAGGCGTGCAGCCAACACATTTGCAACACACAGACAATACGTCATGTGTCAGTAGGATTATTGATTATTGATTGAACTAGTAATACACCATGACGACCGGTTGCACTTTGTTCCATTTATCATTGATGTGAGTGTAATGTCCCATCACAGGCTGCAAGATTTGTGTGTATTTTTTGGGGGGAAAAAAAATTTGAGTTGCATTTTCTTTTTCTTGAAGCGGTGGCTTCCATGGAGTTGGTGTGGTGTGCGATAGAACCAATTTAATCCCTAGTTTCTCCAAATCCTCTTAAAATAGACTGGAAGGCAAAGACCTCAACATTTCAGCTCTATCGCTTCTGTCCTTCTGTGTGTTTTTGCATTTCAATAATCACGCTGCAGAGACAGATATGCTGAGGTAAAATCACAGTGAGACACATGAAATGATGGCCAGATTATGATTTGTTTTATTCAGCAGAATTACAAAATGAGAACAGGTCATTTTAATATTTGAAAAGAAAAGTAAACGTTCTATTCTGTCTCTGTCTTGACATCTGCATGTATCAAATGCAACATTAAATTCTCTCTACTCAGTTCAATTTAATGCAGGACAGATTTAGTCTGCAGGGTCACAATGACACACACTGTATTCCATAATTGCTGGATTTGAAAAGGATTTATTCTATTCATCATCTATAAACATATTTAACCTCGAACAGTTTTCAGCAAGTGTATCTTGACATTACCACTCGACAGGGCACCTGTCTTTTCTAGTTACTTCTGTGGAGCTACATCAACATGCCACTGTAGAATCAAAACACAATTCCGTCTCTTCTGCAGGAGGCCAGAGTGTTTTTGTTATTACTGACTGTTCTGCTATTGAACACAAAGAAGGACATATCTAAGAGCTATAAAATTTCCCCTAACATGGAATCTGATGCTCTTTGTGTCGATTACGATGTTATTTGCTGACAATCCCCTCCAGTACAACAGGGATTATTGCCTCAATTTATGGTTCATAACAAATCGTCCTGGTTTGGCATCCAACTGCCCCAACTTGCAATCATCTTTCCACAGTAAAAACAAAACTGAAGTGATAAATCGGTTTTTGCCTTGCTGTTGTCACCACAGTGTTCTTAATGGGTGCTAATTATCAAGAAAGATCTGCTACAAGTGTCCTTGACTTCCATTAATGACATTCAGGCGGAGCGCGCCTACAGAAATCAAAAGTGCGTGTTTTAGCTCCTCTCTGTTCAACATTAAAGCGAAATCAAAAATAAATATGCTTTATTTTTGTGTCAGAGAGGCTATTGGCATGGCAGGATCTCTCCCAGCAACCATAACCTACATGCTTCATGGGTTCCCTGGGTCCTGGTTTCCACTCTGACGCCATGACGTGGCGGAGGGCGGCTGGATCAACTTCTCCAGGAGGTTCATCATACGCTCCTGCAGCTGCAGACACTGCACCTGGAGAAGGTTCTGTTGGTGCATGGCTCGACGGACCTCCCTGCACGTCTCTTCGATAGCTCGGCTCGACCGCCTTTGTTGCTGCAGCATGGCCTGCATTACCCGCAGCTTCTTCCTCTTCATGGAAAGATGCTTGTTGGCGTGCCTCTTCTTCGCTGAAATAGGACGGGAACTGGAGAACAGAAAGATGGGGAGGAAATTGCTTCAAAATCTAATTTTGATCTCTAGAGTCTTCAGCCAGTGTCCATTATGCAGTTCTCTCAAAGCCAAGAATCATAAAAGTAAAGTATAATAAAAGTTTTTTTGAGAGCAATGTTGAATACTGAATAAAAACATTTGCTGTTAGCCTAGTACAAAGGTTAACGCTCAATACTGAACTAGTCAACTCCCTATAGCCGACCATAGACCGCTAAATCCAGCTGAAGATAACCATGGCTAGCCTGGAATAAAATTATATTTAATAATATCCTGATAAACTTACGCCACAGTTATTTTATTTTTTCAGTAAGGCAGCACCTAATTCCAGCTTTAGAGAGACTATTAGGGAGTTTTATATTAAATTCAAGGTGATTAGATTAAGTGTCAGCTAAAGAGAGTTTAGAGAAAGACACATTTTGTTTGTTGATGTTATACAGTATCAACAGGACCGATCGAATCTGGTCCCTCATATTTCCTGATGTTTTCTAAAAGCTGCTTGATTTCTTAGTTTTAAAATAGTCTTAAGAGACACAAAATGAATACATTTGATCCAAGGCATCTGTTACAGTTTACTGAGTGAGTCTGAACATTATCATACCATTTTCCTCAGCTCTTTTAGTTTTAGTACTACAATCTGTCATTTATTGTGCAGACATTTTTTAAAATTCTAGCTCTGTGCCATTTCTTACTTTCCTGTTCAGCCACAATCAATGGCTTTCTTCAGTGGATGGAGTGTCTCAATAGTTTTTTATAGAGATAGCTTTAATATGGTTGTGATGGGATGTTAGTTATTGGAAACATTTCATTCACATTCAGGCATCTAGATATCCCATTTTGGATGCTTGGATGGACGGATGGATAGAAAGAAAGAAAGATATATATATATATAGATATATAGATAGATAGATAGATAGAAAGAGGGATATATATATATATATATATATATATATATATATATATATATATATAGATAGATAGATAGATAGACAGATAGACAGATAGATAGATAGACAGACAGATGGACATACACACACAATACCTGGATCCCTGTGTGTTGTCACTGTCAGAGCTCAACGACTCCAGCTCTTGCTTTATCTCCATCTCATCTGAGGAGCCTGTGTACTCTGGCAGGAATCCCATCATGCCCTCCTCTGACGGGGCCACCAGGTTGTCTGTCGACTGGGAGGAAGTGGAGGGGCCCGCAGTGGAGGCCACAAACTCCACAGAGTTCACGCGCCCATTCTCCAGCGGCTTGGAGAGGATCTTCTCAATGGATTTAAAGTACGGCCAGTCCGGCATCTCCCCGTTTTCTGCAATTGTGGATTTCAGTCGCCTGTTGGGAGCAAAAGAGGGATGTTAGTAGTCATGCAACATCTGGAGTGAAGAGTCACAGCTCTGGATGGACGCCAATCTGGTGCACTTGCCTGTACTGGAAGGACATGTTGGTGATTTTCATCTTGATCTCCTCTTTGAAACGCTGCTCCCCGGTCAGCTGGAAAAACCTCTGCGACATCTTCTCGTAAACCTTGGCGTTCCTCTTGCTCATTTTCAGTTCGTTGTGGTGTTCGTCCCACACGTAGAGGAGGGCCTTCATTTCACCATCGGTCCAGTTCGGGGCCCGTCTGTGTTTCTCACTGTGGCCTGGCATCAGGTAGCTGAAATCCTCTGATGACATTTTGTCTTTGAAATGGTTCTCTTGGCCTTTGTGTTTGCAGAAACTGGATCTTTAGAGGCTGAATTTGAAAGGCTTTTACCGAGCTGGGAGCTGTGTGAGGTGTGAGACATGCATGGAGGCACACACACACCACCGTCCTGCCTGTGCCCTTCCCCTTAGCCTCGCTGAAAGAGGACTCAAAATGGGGCCTAAGGCAGGAGAGGAATCCGGTTAAAAGCTTTTAGTGGTGCATGATGTCACCATGACATCAAGTTGCCTTGGCAACGGTGAGGGAGGCCCTTCATTTTCCCTCCCCTCTGCTCTAACCACTCCCGTCCGCTCGCCCTTCCCCTCCATTCTGCTCGACTGGCAGCACAAAAAGCTTTTAGCTGAAATGCAGCAGTGTGAGCGCACAATCCTGACAGTTTTGAAATATGAGCCTCCAGGGGAGGAGGAGAGAAAAAAGGAGAAGTGAGACCACGGGTATGCGTTTCCTCGGCAACAAGGCACCAGGTTTGGTAGTCGGCCAACACGCTGCTCCATTTAAAAGCTTTTAATAATAGACAAGTCATTTTGATGCAGGGAGAGGGGTGATTTACTTTGTCTGATGATGATGTAGCAGGGAAAGAAAACACATCCAGGCTGCAGGCTGGACCTAAAAGGAGCAAAAGCCTTTCACCGGAAAGCTGTGAAACACTTAAGGTGGAAATAATAAAAGGAGAGATATCAGACAAAATGGCAACATGTGGTGATCGAACCACAGGCAACCCTAGAGAGGAACACAATATGCTGACTGGTGTAATCAGCTTTCTATTCATAGCAGTGGGTGGTAGACAATGGACCCCCAAAAGGAAGGGTTTCTCTGACCAGTTTGGGACCCCTCCCCCATTTAAGTCTCAGCAAAGCACAGATCTCTGTCTGCCCCCAACTCTACCACCTTAACCTACCATAACATTTGCATTTTGCCTCTTGTCTCCTCCTCCCTTTCTCTCTCTCCCCTCTTTGTTCCCCATCTTTTTTTTTTTTATATATTCATGCAGCACAGCCACAGTAAAACCCTTTTCTCTGCAGCATCTCAGCTGCTGCTCTGCCTCTCCATATTTATCTTTGCAGGGCAGGAATGGTGATGCAGCAACACAATCAGTCACCCTCACTTCATCTTTATTAGTGCCACGAGTTGATGTCAGCGTGGCTTAACTCAGTTCTGGCCTGATTAGACCCTCAACCCCATCTGCTCCTCAGTAACCTGACAGGCGGCTGGTGAGTTTGTGTCATAAAACGCAAATTGGCAGCTTTACCCGATCCATCACATCTGTCACTTAAGAGAAACGTTAAGCTCCGTTTGTGCAGAAATGGGAAAAGTGAATGAAAGTTAGCGTGAAAGGCTTTGTATTTTTGTTTTTCTCATTTGCCTTCAGCCGCCAGTGATAAGGCCTGCACCTCCAAAAGAGCAGAAATTTGATTATTTGTTTATGTGAGCTCATTATTTCTGCAGGGTTGTTTGTTGCCTTGTAGAGAAGATGCCTTAAAGTAATTTTTTTTTAAAGTACTATTTCAGTGATTTATCAACCGCAGTTGCTTATAAACCTTCTATTCCAGTATCATGTCTGTGTTTTCCTACTGGGCTCAATATAATTGTATTTTCCTCAGTAAATTTTGTCATTCATTAAAGTAGTGGTAATCCGGACTACTAATCCAAGAGCCAGACTAATCTACAGATAAACTGGACATGCACCACTCATGTCTAAGAAGTAGAATGAGTGTGATCTAAAGCATCCTTACAATCTAACGAGAAGACAAAGCTAACTAAAATGTATTTTTCAGGAACCTTTGACATTTTACACAACGTAATAATACATTTTCAAAGATCTCAACAATCTTGATTATACAGTATCAAGATATATTATAAGCTTATTGAGGAAGCATTTGCAGAGCAAAGTAAACCATTTAAAACTGTAGTAGTGCCACCTCCAGGTCGTTATTACTATCTCAGTGGAACAAATGTGAATATATATTTATAAAAGCATTATTTCTTGGTTTAGTTAAAATTGAAAAAGAATTATATTAATATATTTATCTGCTTTAGCCAGAGACAAAAAAGTACTTTTGGTAGTCTTCAGTCCCACTATACTTTATATGCAAGCTGCTTTACATAGCCTACAGTACTGTAATTAGTCTCTGCAGTAGTCCTTGTGGTCATCTTACTTTTTCTTCCCATAAATATTTAAACCAAATTTAAAGATATTAATCTAAATAGCTGAAAACCCTAAACTCTTTATTTTATTTAAAAAAAGGTAAAGAAAACAATTCATACATTTAAATTAAACACACTGGAGAAAACACCACTAGGATTATTTTATATCCAATTTCTGTTAGAAATTCCCTTTCACCTAAATCTTAGTTTTTTTGAAATTCATGGCTTTCCTCTACATTCACTACTGTTAACACTAGAATCACATTGCCACATTTCTTTTATAAAAATAGCACAAACAATAATACAAAAATAAGTAAAACCAGAGTAGGGTTCTGATACGTTGGAACCTTAGAAAAACGTTTAATGCAAATTTGTGCACATAAAACACATACATACAGTACAGTGCATACGTAACGTATCATAAAGTATAAATGCTTTTAATGTTGGCCTACGTTAGTATGTCAACAAATACTGTTGTACATCTTGTCCATTGTACTTCATCATAAACCGGTCTGCGATGGACCGGATGCAAACTGACTGGACCACTTTGTCCAAAGCTGCTCCCACAACAAGAGATAGTCTTTTGCACCTGCTCATGCAGGCGAACACCAAACATGACGAAAACAACTAATTGGCCGCATTTTGTAGTTTGATAAGAGCAATTGAGGCTGGTGTGTGTGTCTTACACATAAGTACAGTAGTTACAAGTTGTCCCGTGTCCTCTCTGTGCAAATCTGAGCTCAGGCGGAAGGTTCAATCCTGGCATTGTGGGTATTTACTCCTCCGATCAGTCCCTAACATTAATGCAGCTATTAAAAGACACAGAAAGCTATTCATCTCACCCATGCTCGGAGGGCAAAACAATTAAGGAATGTCAGTTTGTGAAACTACAAAATAGAAAATACTGTAAATTACTGTTTTTGTTTTGTTTTTTAAAAGAAAGGGGGCTGGTAAATGGCAAATTAAGTGTCAGGCAAACTCAGGTACACCAGTCTGTCTCGCCACACCCAAAAACAAAGCAATGAAACACACCATATAAAAAAAACGGTAAGATTAAAATATAAAAATATGACAGAATGGAAACAATATAATATAATATATCAAGTATTCATAATATACAATAATAAGAGGTTAAAAATTAAACCTAAAAAGGAATGTCGTTCTGGAAAAGTACCACTAGAGGTCAGCAAATATCCATGCTCAGATATCCAGTTATACACATGAAGTATTTATCTGCTGTGAAAAGTTATTTCTGCTTGTGGACTAACACTTTAAAAACATACGGACCCAACTTTTGACTTCATTTTAACCTCCTTCAATTCCACATAGCAGCAGTCGCAGTGATAAACACTCCATTTCAGCGAAATTGACTTAGTTACATTCTTGATAAGAAGTCTCACAGTAGAAATGATTTTTTTTCTCGAATGTCTCACTGGATAACATCTGTGATCCTGACACCGTTACTGCATCAGGGACGACAATGATTCCCCATGTTTCCAAACTGACTCATGCAGTCATAGGAGAAGTTTTCATCTCAGCGAATTCTTCTGGAACTACATCTGCAAAGTTCCAGTGAAGAGTTTTGTTTTTTTAAACTGTAGTGGTAAAAGTTAGTCTTTTATAGATTTTGAAAATGTCCAACTCCAGATCCCGTTTCCGGCGTCGTGCAGTTTACAGACTCCGGTCTGGTGTCTTGTGTCTTGAGTGTCTCTGCTCAGTCTCTGGGTAGACACTCCTCCTCTGTGATGCCCTGAGCCTTCAGCTCCTCCAGGACGTTGTCCAAGTGGCCGGGGTCAGGGTAGCCGTGGCCAGTCAGGTTGGAACCAAACTCCGTCTTGTGGTGCACCTCGTTCCAGATGACTGTGTCAGACTCACCGGTGGTGCTGGACGTCCCGACGGAGAAGATGAGCCGGCGGTCCCACGCTACCAGGAGCAGCCTCAGAACCTGGACAAGAAATTCAGGATAATAGATGTTAATTTCACATAATCAAGGCATTTTGTCTTTGTACCGTTATAAAATCAGAAAGAGACGTTCTCTCATTTACCTTGCGTCCCTTCTCACTGTCGGGGAGGTAGCAGTGTCTGGGGAACCCACGGGCAGTGAAGGGTTTGCCGGGATTTGGATGCTCTGGGCCCTAAAGAGAAAGTTTATCAAATCATTCAAGCCAAGATTTAATCTAAGAAAGAGATAACCTTACATCACAGAAGCACCTCAATGTACCTGGATGCCAGGAGGGATGTTGTAAATGATCCGGATGGTTTTACAGTCCGGGTGGCCGGGCAGTGAGTGTGGGATGACGTGGTACTCCATCTTGCCCGGGGGCTGGTTGCCAGTCTTGACTCCGTAAATGGTTTTGCAGGTGGGGCACTGCAGGCTGCCGTCCTTGTTGCCATTGTTGTACATGGCGACGAGGCACTGGAGGTGGTACTGGTGGCCACACTGTGCAAGACGGCCCACCGATTCAGCCCGGGAGATGCCGCCCACACCGGGGCCCTTATAGCCTGACGGTCCTGCCAGGGCCTCCATGCAGATGGTGCAGTCCTGAGATGGGGAAGCAGGTTTAAGATTAATTTTTCATCCAACCTGATACAAACAGTTTTGAATGCAAAAATATCAGGTTGTTTGATTCAAGTGACCTGTGAAAGCCAAACAGAGGAATGTGTATATCCTATTACCAGAGCTTTCACACACATGTCATGGCCTTCATCAGCAGATGGAGTTTGCTTAGTTGTCACAGGTTATACTGTAACTCCCCTCCTGCACATATAACCACTATTTAATCACAAACTCAGCACAAATTCATCTCCATGACAACTGCTAATGAAGACCATGACATGCATATTCAAGATTGTTACAAATTTGAAATAAATAAATGAAATGAACAAACCTATGTCCAAACGTGTATTTGGGCCAATTGTTGCTGAACTCACCTCTTCTGGAGGATTACGAACTTTCTGAAGGTACCGCTTCACCACCTCCTCAGGGGTCTTGCCTGAGAAATAAAAACACAAAGTGTGATGATCTGTTGGTGAAGAAAATGCACCTCAAGGTAAAAGCGAAAGCAGACTTCCTCATCATCATGCCCACCTTTACGGGCCTGCTTCTTGGTGGTCTTGCGGCAGCAGTGGCCCAGACCGGGCACAGGCTTGATGTCGCTCTTGCTGACGGGTGGAGGATGAAGCACCAGCTTGGGCGGGCGGGTCAGGCAGACGGGAAGCCCTGCTGCGCTCATCAGGATGCCTGTGATGCCTAAATACAGCCAGAAGAGGGAGGATGTGAGACACTGTATTTGGGGTTCACTCATTGCATGATAATGGGAATTATATATTGACAGACTGGTGAAGGTGGATTTACTCAAATTCTAGTTAAATATGGGGCCAAATGTGACTATGTGTGTCACTGTGGGGAAATAGGTAATATGACCATATCTTTACCTGCCAGAGCAGGGTGCACAGGGCTAGATCCATTTAGGTTCTTCACTGGAACTGTTGGCACACTGAAAAACATGAAGAGAGAAAAACACTAATTAATCTTCAGATCATTTCATCGCTGACATTAAACACTCAACAGGTCAGGTCAACTCAGCAGCACCAGATTGAAAGTGTCAATATCTGTTGAGTCACCTGTGCGCACAAAGGCGGCCGCAGCATATGCTAGTGGCCACTTGACCCAGAGTCAGCAGGTTAAGGAGCTTTTCTCGAGTCATGTGGAGAAACAAATAGAGCTGTTGACATACTGTCCCATAATTATCAGATGGGACTTCCGGCTATGTGAGGCTTAAGCTTGGGATGACAGCACATGAGAGATGACAGTTAATTATAGGGTCTGGCTGATGTGGCTGATATCGTACTCAATACCCAAGCCGATAAAATATTGATAAGTGATAGACTATGATTACATTTTTTTAAAAGACAAATTCAAGCATTTTCAACTTAAAATGAGGACATCATGTCAGGTCCAAACTAGAATGAAACTCTATAGAGCATATACCTCCTCCAAAGCCCAACAGTCCCTCAATGAAACCACATTTATATTTTCCACATCTGGATTTCCTCAGGATTTTTTATATCAAGATCCATTAATCAGTCTCTGAGAAATCAAGGAAAATGTTGAAAAATGTAAAAGAAAGTGACAAAATATAACCTGATCCAGATCTACACCAACGTTTCTGCCTCACCCCTCCACAAATTTCATGGAAATCAGTTGAGTACTTTTTTGTGTAATCCCGCTTACAAACGGACAAAAAAAAAGCACAGACAAAAACATAGCATCCTGGGTGGTGGCAATTTCAGCAGCAACATCGATTTTAACATTTAATCTTTAAAAAATGTGTTTTTTAATTTGTAAACTCATATGCTTTTATTTAAATAAAATATCAAACCGTTGAACTATATCTCTGCTCATCCAGAGGGGAAACACACATGAACCTCACATTATTATCACAACTACACCTGTCCACTCGCATGTGTACTTACGGTCTGCCAGAAGAAATAACAGTCATCTTTCCTTCTCTCCAAATACCACAGATATGAGTCAAAACTATTCCAGCAGCAATATCTACTTGTTGCAACAGTCCTTTCTGATATTTCTTTTTTTCTCGTGCCTCTAACCGAGCCTCACGTTTAACAGTGGTGCTGTATGTAGGTAGCTTGTGAGCAGGTGTCAGGTCTCCTTCCTCATTTATAGAGCTAATCCACCTGTTTCAATCTGTTGACCACAGTCTGGCTGCAGGCCACAGATTCGTCACAGCAGGGATTACCTCTGAGTTCGCGCGTAACGCTGTCAGGCTGCCATAAGACAACGTGATATACCAACACAATGCTAGTACACAGAAATTACTATATGTTCATGAAACAAAATCAGGATTTTGCATTATTTAATGTATATATACATAGACACTCACAAATATATGTATGTATATTTTGTATGTATAGATGCATACATGTAAAAGACTTTACACTAGAGTTTATAAAAAAAATTACCTCCATCATATGATAAAACTACCACAGGGTTCATCAGCTCCTGGACGTGTTTTGACCCAGTCACATGAGCAGAGTGGTCCATGTGGTGCCGAGAGTGAATTTAGGGTTAAAGGGACAGTGTGTAGAATTTTCTGACATCTAGTGTTGAAATTGCTTGTGACAGCGGAACACCCCTCACCTCACCCTCCCCTTCCAAACATGAAAAATAACCTGTGGTATCTTTCAGTTGTTATCAAAGCTCAATAGGTGTCTAGTTTGTCCAGTTTGGACAATGTAAAAAACATGGCGGCCTCCGTAAAGAGGACCCCCTCGATGTAAATATAAAGTATTTAAATATAAAGGGCCTTTTCTGGAGTAAAGAAAACTACAATTCATACAATTTAGACGAAAGGAACTAGTGAAAACATCATGAGGATTACATGTCTGGTAGTTCCCTTTCACCTAGATCTTACACACGGAACCTTCAAAGCAGGAGGGTGATGATGATGATGACAGCAGGGGCACTTAAGTGACGTGTGCACTGAGGATGAGTTAAAGGAGAAAAGAAGGACGAGCGGCAGAGAGGTGAGCAGAGTCCCAGGCTGACGGGATCAGAGAGACTCTTCATCTGTGACGTGACTGGGTTTTACCTCAGCAGCAGGTGTGACCATCTGCTGGATAGAGGAGGACTCTCACCTGATCTGCTGAAGGAACGGGTCGGTCACACAGCTCAGATTACCAGAGCAGTGATATTAAGCCTGTGCTTGTCAGTATTTATATGAGGATTAGCTGCTGTGGAGGTCATCTTCACTAATGTGAGAATTCAGAGCACACAGTCTTTTACAGGAAGTGTTTGATCACAGTACAAGCAGCCAAAATCATTAAAAGACTCTTCAGTGAAGGATGCATGAGATCTTGCTTTATTATACTTTTTTAGGCAACTGTAAAACAAGTAAGCGTCCCAGAAAGAAAGGAAGAGGTTCAGTGAGATGTAAAGATCGTGAGCAGGCTGTAATTGGAATATGATGAAATCTAGAAGCTAACATTCGTAACACGCTCACAAAAACTCGCCGCCAGCTGCAAAAAAATTAACTTGCGATAAAATAATGAGGAACCAGCTGAGTCCTGGTTCACCGAGCCACAAAACTGTTATGAACCAGCGCCCTCTGGTGACGACACCCGCACACTGAGCCTGGCCTCACTTATTTACATTCACTGATGATGACAACTGTATATACAAAAAATACAAAAATACAAAAAGATCCCCCTTCAGATATTTTAAAAGACAATTGATCTACTCTTAGTAAAAATGTGTTA